TTATTTCTACAACTAACATACATTAGGTTAACTGATGAAAACTTCTATGACAAGAAAACAATGTTTTTCAATATTGTTGTTATAATATTTGTACAAAATGTGATAAACAAACATTAATGCAATGATAAATGTGTTCTTGGCAAATCCAGTGAACTCACTGAATAAATCATCCCCAATAACCTGCGCACATGTTTTAGTTACACGATGTTTTAGAAGATCAATGTCCCTGACTTTCACTTCATTCATTTTTAATCTGACGCATCCCGAGAAGCAATAACAGAAGGAAGTAAGATTTGGGAATCGTGCAGACCACTCCGCAGCTCCAAGTAGGTTGATTCAGTAGGGAAGCATCATTATTCAACCTTTAACACACCCATGCTGCGTAGCAGAGTTCGCTGACCAAAAGATAAACGTTTGTGGATTACATTCTGAGCAAACACTGCAACAACAAAATAAAAAGTTTTCTTAAATTTGCCTCTTTATAAACTATGGATACCTGTACGTGACAATAAATTAGAAAACAGTATGTTAGTATGCTTTTGTTAAACAGATTTGCATGTGTTGCTGATGCTATTCAATTAATTTGTGTACGCGCTGGATTTTGTCCTAGTGTAGCTCTCAGCCGTGTCATGTTTAATAAGCCACAAAAACTCGAAAGTCGAAACGCGTAATATAGTAGGGAAAAACTGTTTAAGTATCCGCATCTCGTGAGGTCAATTTGTGTGTAAGTCTAAGGCTGTGTGGATGAGAGGCATGAAATGTTATAATAATAATAATAATAATAATAATAATAATAATAATAATAATAATAATAATAATAATAATAATGAAATTATTTTCCAGTAACATACACGTTATACAAAGGTAGATTTTTCTTATTATTTGACTGTACGCTGCTCTTAACCCACTGCTGTACGGTCTGCTCGGTTTCGTGGAACCTTCACCCATTTTAATTATTTTGCATTTGGGTTAGAGTCAAGCAACCATTTTGTAGACAATTCTTACGCAGGTTTTAATAAAATTAGTTATATTTATTCTCCGTAATTCTTGAAAAGTTAAGGTAGAGCTATTTACATATGAACGATATAGTATTTTTGTTTTTGCAAGTATGTTAATTTGTTAGGCTTAAATTAAGCTTCTTGATTCCAAGGTTATTTAAGCTGTGATGCACCTAAACATTAGCATCACGAACACTTCACCGCCTAAATTAGGAGTAGAGTTTTAAGCTCTGTATATGAACCGAGAGACGCACACTTCTGTGGAATACATCCTTTGCTGGCATATAATAATTTACTAGGTTTAAAGCCTATCGACTACACGAAGGTGTAGTCGATAGGCTCACCACCAATCAGGAATATGTTACCTCTACATTAGGGATTAGACTCTTAATTAATGACACATGCACTTATCATCGGATTTATCCTAAGCTAATATATATTGGTCATGTCGCCGTCATAACTTTTATACTTAGTTATACGATAACGGCTTGTTTCTCGTATAGTAAAATAATACATATTTTTAGCATTTGAAAACATTTTATACTCGAACCTAGAATTTTTTTTTATAAAAATTTTTATTTTCTTATTATTATCACACTGACCGATTCCTACCAAGGCAGGGTGGCCCGAAAAAGAAAAACTTTCACCATCATTCACTCCATCACTGTCTTGCCAGGAAGGTGCTTTACACTACAGTTTTTAAACTGCAACATTAACACCCCTCCTTCAGAGTGCAGGCACTGTACTTCCCATCTCCAGGACTCAAGTTCGGCCTGCCGGTTTCCCTGAACCCCTTCATAAATGTTACTTTGCTCACACTCCAACAGCACATCAAGTATTAAAAACCATTTGTCTCCATTCACTCCTATTAAACACGCTCACGCATGCCTGCTGGAAGTCCAAGCTCCTCGCACACAAAACCTCCTTTACTGCCTCTCTCCAACCTTTCCTAGGCCGACCCCTACCCCGCCTTCCTTCCACTACAGACTGATACACTCTTGAAGTCACTCTGTTTCGCTCCATTCTCTGTACAGGTTCGAACCACCTCAACAACCCTTCCTCAGCCCTCTGGACAACAGTTTTGGTAATCCCGCACCTCCTCCTAACTTCCAAACTATGAATTCTCTGCATTATATTCACACCACACACTGCCCTCAGACATGACATCTCCACTGCCTCCAGCCTTCTCCTCGCTGCAACATTCATCACCCATGCTTCACACCCATATAAGAGCATTGGTAAAACTATACTCTCATACATTCCCCTCTTTGCTCCAAGGACAAAGTTCTTTGTCTCCACAGACTCCTAAGTGCACCACTCACCCTTTTCCCCTCATCAATTATATGATTCACCTCATCTCTCATTGACCCACCCGCTGACACTTTGGTACACATATCCCAAATTTATTGAAACATTCACCTCACCATACCCTTTTTCTGAATCAGAAATATGCAGGAGCAGTAAATGTGAAGACGAATTATCAGTCCATCACCCTTAAAGTCGTTAGAATTTGAGGTCTGTCAGTCCTCGCCTGGAGAGTTTCATTCTTCATAGTCAGAAACTATCTGAAGATCAGCGACAGTGTGGAGGCTTAAATACTGTCGGAAGGAGAGGTCGCCCGGGTAGTAGTAGTAGTAGTAGTAGTAGTGAGAGGCAACTGAGAGGTCATGTCCCTCTCAGATCCAACCCTTCTCACTTGAAAAGCTGTCCAAGGTGTTTTCTGTACCAAGATGCCACTGTTGCAGTGTTGACAAGATTGAAAAATCAAATGGTATACAATACCGAAGGTTGTTAGGTAAGACACATATGCAACAGTTAGACAACTTTATTCCGAAACGTTTCGCCTACACAGTAGGCTCTTCAGTCGAATACAGAAAGTAGGCAGGAGCAGTAGAGATGTGAAGACGATGTAATCAGTCCATCACCCTTAAAGTCGTAGAATTAGGTTGTCAGTCCCTCGGCCTGGAGAAGTTCAGTTCCATAGTCAGAAACTATCTGAAGATCAAGCGACAGTGTGGAGGGGGTTAAATATGTCGGAAGGAGAGGTGCAGGGTAGTAGTAGTAGTAGTAGTAGTAGTGAGAGGCAACTGAGAGGTCATGTCCCTCTCAGATCCAACCCTTCTCACTTGAAAAGCTTGTCCAAGGTGTTTTCTGTACCAAGATGCCACGTGTTGCAGTGTCTGACAAGATGAACATCAAAATGGTATACAATACCGACAGGTTGTTAGGTAAGACACATATGCAACAGTTAGACAACTTTATTCCGAAACGTTTCGCCTACACAGTAGGCTTCTTCAGTCGAATACTCCCAAATGTCTGAATACATTCACCTCCTCCATACTCTCTCCCTGCAATCTGATATCCAATCTTTCATCACCTAATCTTTTTGTTATCCTCATAACCTTACTCTTTCCTGTATTCACTTTTAATTTTCTTCTTTTGCATACTCTACCAAATTCATCCACCAATCTCTGGAACTTCTCTTCAGAATCTCCCAAGAGCACAGTGTCATCAGCAAAGAGCAACTGTGTGATTCTTTATCTTTTAACTCCACGCCTCTTGCCAAGACCCTCGCATAAAAGTTATAAATATAATTTTGAATTAATTATTTGCCCTTTTTCACATTTTTTTACAGTAACAGTTTACCGAGGTAGTTTAGTTACCTAGAAAGTGTGGAACAAAATGTAACGACCAAGACAAAATCACAGATGGAAAAAAGATAAGGGTCGTCCCAGGAACGATTGGAGGGAGGAAACAAAGGGTGCAAGTGGTAGAAGCTTGAGCATTCTGCAGGGAAAGGTGAGCATGTTAGCTAGGAGTGGAGACATGTGGTTTTTAGGATTCCACGTGCTGTTGGGGGTGTGATCATGGTAACATGCATGAAGGCATTCAAAGAAACCAGGCAACCGAACTTTCGTTCTCTCTCTCTAGATGTATGTGTGTGAAAATATAGGGAGGTACCACCTCTGGAACTGGACTGGGGACCCTCATGTATGTATTTTTTTTAACACGCCAGCCGTCTCCCACCGAGGCAGGGTGACCCAAAAAAAGAAACACTTTCACCATCATTCACACATAATCACTGTCTTTGCAGAGGCGCCCAGATACGAGTTTAGATGTCACTCCAAACAGCCAATATCTTTAACCCCTCCTTTAAAGTGCAGATTAAACAAATGGTGAAATGAAATTCTAAGAGCTTTCGTAAATTTCTCTCAATGTTAAGGAAAAATAAATCACTAAAGCGCTTGGAATTTCATTATTTTTCACTGTGCTTGCTTTGCATATTGTAATATCACCTTTTTACTGTGATCCTATTGCAATATATTATATATTATATATATATTATATATATATATATATATATATATATATTATATATATATTATATATATATATATATATATATATATATATATTATAATATATATATATATATATTATATATATTATATATATTATATATATATATATAATATATATATATATATATATTATTATTATATATATATATATATATATATATATATTATATATATATATATATATAATATATATTATATATATATTATATATATATATATATTATATATATATATATATATAATGTATGTATATATTTCATATTTCAATCCGACAACGATAGGAGCGCCTGTTTTGTCTAATTCTATGCAAAGTTTCACTTAAAATTAAATATTTTTCAGTTCTAGAATGTTTAACCATTCGTCGATTAATTTGGGTATTGTGACATTTCTGCTTGAAGTTAACGCACATTAAACTCTCTCTCTTCTAATGTGTTCAAGTAAGCCACACTTGACACCTCTTGAGTTTGCAGTGTACACTGATGCAAATGAAGAAAGGTTCATACCTTAGAAAAACATGACTTAAAGATATAAAGCTTAAAATAGTATACATGTAACTATTGCAGCCTGGAGTACTTGGGTAATCAAATTAGGATAACAACCATCTAATATAAAGATGGTGTAACAAATAACTAAGGCGAGTCAGATTAGGGTGCAGGTGGGCCACATGTTGCACAACCAGTGATTGAAGGTAAGATATGCACTTCTGCTGATAACAACTGTCTGGTCAAGCTACTGCGCCAGTAAGGTGCTCTGGTATCGCTATATCTCACCCCCTTCATTGTTCACCAATCTGGTCACTGCCATCACAGGTGTGCCACATGGCTAATGACAAGGCACAGCTGGCTACGCTGTTTGTGCTAACCAGAGTACACTGCCACGCCCCCTCAACAAACAATGAATGAACTCTGACGGGTCCCATTCATTTTATGGGCGTGGGCGTGTGAGGATGACGCAGGCTACCGGACGGAGCTACTATAGGTTGAGCTGAGACTGTACGACAATGGCTTACTTTAAAAAACAAGTGGGTGGGTAAGAAGTGGGTGGTGGAGTGGGTGGCACCTCCCACTTACCGCTCCCTCCCTCAATTATTAGGAGCGGCAGCGGGTCCCAGCTTCCAGTAGCGCTGCTCCCGTGGCCAGACGCACTGCTTCTCCAAGGCTTCCTACTGTTTACCCATTAGTGATAAAGTCCTTCATTGTTTCAGTCCCCTCGTCAGTGCCGGAGAGATGACTTCAACAATTTTTGCTTTCTTACTGGTGTTGCCGATGCTTCTAATGCTAATGATGCCTCATCTTGCAAGAGGTACATTTCGACAGTCATCAACTTCTGTAAAATTAATTTTTTTATACTGGATATTTAGAACTTTTCCATGGTCTCGCTAATTCATGATTAATTTTCTTTCGTTGTAGGAAGGCTCTTTGGGCTAGAGGACTCAACGGAAGACTCTCCAGGGGTGACCCAAGGGGTGACGCTGTCTTCACCTGACCACGCCAGCTGCTGCGTTCGCGAGAAAAAGATGAAGAACATTGGAGTCTCAGGTACACCAATATATTCTGAAATGAATGTATTTTGTATCAGTCAGCTATTGAAACAAAGGTCTATCGTATATTGAAGTTTCTATTTTTGTTAATGGTCACACTGAATGCATAAACAGAAGCGAGACGGGCTTCAGCAATGCCATGTTCGGTCAAGCCATTCTTCGGCTGTTGCAGGATGGACCCTTGAAGATTATCATGCCCAAATCGTCTACCGTTTTATAATATACTAAAATAATAGTAGTTAATATGACAAACACTGCCCCATAATTAATGCGTGCCAGGGAACCCACACCTGGATCTCAAGTAAAAGACGCAATCTCTACTTAGGATGCAATCACGGCCCGCACACAATGAAGGAAATACAAAGTCTTTTTGCGTTGGGCTTCGACCTATAGGTAACTCGCCGGTATAATCTTAATTATAGGGGTCAGGTTAACTCTAAGCGACTAATTTATCTGAAAAATCAATCGACATTACACCCATCATTTTCCAGTAATTATAGAACATTGCTGATGGTTACTAGGTAGCATAACTGTCACGAATTTTAGCAAGCTACTTTCACGAGAAAGGTCACCGTTCTTATTGATGATATAAGGCAAAGGCTAACATAATATAACAGCCAATGACTCAAAAGACTAGGATTTTAATGGTGTAGTTATCCTGAACTTTAACACTTGAGGAGTGTCTGATACGTTTGTCTTTTCTAAACGTGAACATATTTCTGAAATAAGGAGCAACAATTGACAGGCCTAAATATTAAAATAATTAAGTGAATAATTTTTTAATCAGGTGATAGTCGTATTTGTTTTTTTTTTTTGTATGTAATAACCTACAACACAGAATATATATTTAATCACTTCAATTCTTCAGCAAACTCTTTTTCTATTGATGGAGCTACTGCAGAATCTAAATATTTATTATCAGTCAGTAAGTAGTCTCTCTATATTTTCCACAAACAATGCTAACCACCTGATTACTTTACCCGCTTTTAAGAGATAAATACCTAATGGGTTGGTTGGTTAATTGGGCGTAAAGCCTATCTGCATATGAGAATCATTAAAACTGCTGGTCACCTAAGAAATATATCGCTCCACGTGTACAAGCACTGTTCTTAATGCTTACAAATTAAGAGAGATATTCATCAGAATATTGTATATACAAAGTGATGTATTATTCATATATTAAAGCTAGAACGCTTACCCCCTCCCAAAATAACAATTCTGTAAAGCAAAACCCAAAGTATATTTGAAGCTTCTGTTCCGATTAACTGTTTGAATGACAATAATTTTAATACGGAGAAAATATACAGAAATTTGTATCTCTCAGAGCTTATAAACTGAAAGTTTAGTTAATGCCTGCTTTAGGGATTAAATTGTTTATTCGTGTCTCCCGACACGGATCTTAATCATATAGACGACTCATTAAATTTAAGGGATTAGGGATTAAAATATTCTTACGTGTAAATATATAATGGAATTGAAGCTTTAAATTCAATAGACTTTAAACCTAGTTAGTATCTCATATAAAACATTTTGTGATGGATTTATCACCTAGAGAACCTTTAAGTAATATTTAACAGTGAACAAAAAGATCAAAAGCAAAATTATATAAAGAATGGTGTAAGTAAAAAGGTCATTAATATTGTGGGCTCTACTAAGACGACATAAACCCACGTTTAATTCCTGCAGATGCTACGGGCGAGGAGATTCGAATTGATGTGGGTCACTGCAGGAGACACTGCAACAAAAGGAAACCCCTTAAAAAGGCCAACTTCGAGCGCCTTCTTTCGGAAAACCCTGATATGGATCCACGATTGGTATGTCATGCCTCTACCTTTATATTCTGATATGATACACACACACGCGAGCGCACATACATACTTTTCTAAACTATATTTAGTTCGATTAGGCTAAGTTAAATTGAGCTTGTTATAATAAGGTTAGGTAAGTTTTCTAAGGTTATATATAATGTGCATGTATTTCCTTACAACTAAGCCTATCTTCTGATGCAAGCTCAAGTATATAATACTCTTTTTAATTTTAATTTCGTGTGGGATTTTTTTTTTTTTTTTTGCGACTGACAGTTTTTTTTCCTTGACATGTGCTTGAGTATCGAAATTAAATAACTCTCAAAACCTTGGAAAAATATGCCTGGAGAGTCAACACATCCCTTAAATTTTAATAATTTTATTTTTTTCAGGAATTTTACAATTGAAAATCACTATATTTAATAAGTGAGAAGCTTAATCTTCAAGGCAATTTAGGAAGATGAGATTCCTTGTAGAAGGTTTGGCAGAATTGCAAAGTTTTTGCGTATTAAGCAGTTAGTATTCGTGTTAAAAAAATTATGGTGCTTGAGTCAGCTGAAAGGACGAGCTCAGTAATGGATAATAAGCATAGCATTTTATCAACAGAAAAGTAAGATAAACACAATTTGCATGAATTGTGTACTTGTAACCTTGCCGCCTCTTGCCAATATCAGCATAACAATCTGAGTGAGATACGACCAGTGATATTATGCCTTGCCATAAGCATTATTGTGCAAAGTAACTGAATTCATCATTTTGATTAATGAAATTAGAAGAGTCGACCGAATAAAAACTTGATAATAAGTGCTGGTTATAACAACGAATAATTATTGACAAGTTAAGCGCCCAGGAGAAATATCTCCAACATTCTCAGCAATTTCACTGAAGAATAGAAAAGCCGTTTATTTTCCAGCTGTAAATAGTAATAGCCTTATCGCCTGGGTTATTCTTTAATTTCAGTGTAGCTAACAAAGTGTGCAAATTAATTTGGTTACCTCCTCTATTCTGCTATCGAACCCCGTTCACACTGTTTTTAACATTACTTTCTTTAATTATTCAAGCTTGTACGATACAATCAAATTTAAGCAACGGATGATATGTCTAGAACTCAAGTTACTCGAGATACGCACGTTTTAGATTTTTTACATTTAGCTAATGCAAATTTAATATATTGTAACAGAGTGTTCGATATGTCTACTTACGTGTATAGATATAATCATTCATTCTGTCTATTTATGTTTATTGACTTCCAGTTGTTTTTGCTGAACTCTGGCCACCAGCGTGAGATAGCCTCGTGCCCCGTGGGGGAGGCTTGCACTGCCTCTGCTTCACGTGTGGAGCGACTGGTGACGACGGAGGGTATAGTCAGTGTTACGGTGACGGAAGCTTGTGAGTGTCAGTCAAAACCACACTCGTGCCGCCGACAGCCCCGACCCGTCACACTTCATAAAGGAACACCTCTCCAGACCACTGTGGACCTTGGTGACTGCCAAGGACACTGTTTTCATGGTTAGGAATACATCACTAAAGTTTATTTTTTATATAGATCATTAAACTGAATACTAACAGAGAGATATCCTAGAGGCTAAATGCATATGCATATGCATATTTTAATCGAAATCACGAGTCTGATTAACGTTTTCGAATACAAATATTGCTATTCTTGCAGAATTAGGCTGCAAAGCTACGAAATCCAGGACGGTGTCGGTGGAGGGTCCAAATGGTGAGTAGCATCTTTTCTTTGCCAAATGTTTGTTGACAAGAACATTTATCAAGTGTCTGAAGCTCCTAATTCCACATCCACAGACAAAGACACTCTATGTATATATTTTATTTTATGGCAAGCTCCCCAGCAGAGATAAAGTCGTTCATCAGTGCAAGAGCTTACATTTGGCATTTCAATCCACTCTCAATTATTTTACCACAGACCGAGAGGCTTTGAACCAAATTTTATCCCAAAGAAGGTAGGAACCTATGTATTAAAAAACGGCTAAATCTGTATCTCAAGCTTATGTAGGAGCCATATGGGGCCAGGTCCAACGATTCTTTACATTCGACCTTATACTTCTTGCATGTTATTAAACAAAGTTGATATACTCAAGGATAAGTAAATACTAATAAATTTCTGTTAAGTAATAGTTAAAGGAAAACTTCTTGAGCATTTATTCATTAACATGATTTGAATTTCTCATACGACTGTTTTATCTTTTTAACATCTTCTCTCCGTTGTGTACAGTATGTTATAAACATACATGAGATGATAGGAAATACGACACATCAGCAGATGAATACCGCATGGAAAGGGGCAACATAAAGACAATGAACCTTGTTGACAAAGTAAATGTTACCTGTTTTAATAAGAACAGTATTAGTTTGCTGCTTCTTCGAAAAACTTGCACACAGCCACAACGTCGTCTAACAAAGCGGTATTTAGGTCGATGGTGAGGAGCGATTATCCACAGCCAAAGAAACCCGGGTTTGATTAACAGGCCAAACTAGATGTATGGGTGAATCTCGGCACCTACTGTCCGTGTGTACCTAACAGTATGGTAAGCACAGCATAACATGGATGGAATTTGTATACCGAGCGAGCAAAAGACCATCTCGTAGCATTCTAATCGAAAAAAATTTCTCGTAACTTAAAGTGATATGAATACGTACAATCATTTTGTTTATAAACTGTTATGTGAGAGCTCTTCGTTAATATAATTAGATAATCCAGTTGTTTATCACCCTGTAACAGACTATTTTGACTGTAATGAATCAGACTCTTTTATTTAATAAAAGTGTAAAGTCACCTTTGATCCATCCAGGAGAATAACAAAATGTAAGACTAAAAAAGCAACTTTACACTACCTATATACCTACTGATACCTTTAAACATAATAGTAATTAAACCATTAAAATACTTTTGACCTGCTTATCATTGTTCATCAAAATATAGAAACATACAGAATACCATTCATTTTGCAGATTATTGACGTTGGCACCTGTATTGTGAATGTGATACGATGCTAGAGGACCACTGTGTCTTAAGGTAAATAATGCTATCTGTTTTTTCAACTAAGCTATTTTATCTACTGGTCACTAAGACAGTCGACATCATAGATAAAGAGGTAATAAGATCAGTTTTATTCAAGAAAGCGCAATCTGTTTTACAGATTATATTACAGATCTGCAGAATATTTCTAATAGGTACAAATGTAATAGGATGCATTCGTTATAAAGATAATGAGATTTAACCATAGGATAATCCAGCAAGGTTAAAATGCAACTCACTTACATTGGGTCTATATATATATTATATATAGATATATAATATATATATATATATATATATATATTAAATATATATATATAAGTAGGTAGTAGGTTGTAGACAGCAACCTCCCAGGGAATACTACCGTCCTGCCAGATGACTGATGAACCAAAACCTGTAACTGTTTTGCATGATGGTATATTCTGGTTTCTTTTTCTGTCTCATAAACACGCTAAGATAACAGGGATATCTGCTACTCCTACTTACACTTTGGTCACACTTCATATACTCGCACATGCATATATATATATATACATAACATCTAGGTTTTTCTCACTTTTTCTAAATATCTCTGTTCCTTTTTAATTCTTCTATAGTCCAGGGAATGGAAAAGAAGCTTTCCTTTTTTTTCTTATTCCTCCTAAGCCATTCGTGTCGTATGAGCGACTAAAAAGGCCGGGAGCATGGCTAGTACTCCCTTCTCCTGGATACAATTACTAAAAAGAGAAGACGAAAAACTTTATAAAACCGGGCTGCTTAAATGTGCGTGGATGTAGTGCGGATGACAAGAAACAGAGATTGCTGATGTTTGAATGAAAGAAGTTGAGATGTCCTGCCTAAGCGAAACAAAGCTGAAGGGGGTAGCGAGTTTACAGTGGGGGGAAATAAATGGGATTAAATGCTGGAGTATCTGAAGATAGAAGTCAAAGGAAGGGTACAGTAATGTTAAATATCAGTTATGAAGGATGAAAAGAGAATATAATGTGTAATTCAAGAATTAGGGATTAAAGTAAAGGTTGGATCAGAATGGGTCATAATAGGCGTGTATGCACCTGGAGAAAGAGGAATGCAGAGGAGAGAGAGAGATTTTGGGAGATGTTAAGTAATGTATAGAGCCGTTATAGAACCAAGTGAGAGAGTAATTGTGGTAGGGACGAATGCTAAAGTAGGAGAAACTCTTAAGAGGCTTGTGGTAGGTAGAGTTTGGTGCCATGTAAATAATAATGGCCCGTTGATTGAAAATGTATAGTAAAGGTTTAGTTATAGGTAATACATATGTTAAGAAAAAGAGGATAAATAAGTATACATCGATATGATGTAGGGCGAAATGAAGGAGTTTGTTGATTATGTATGGTAGAAAAAAGAACTGTTGATAGACTTCAGGATGTACATGTTTATAGTGCCACAATATATCAGATCACTTTTCAATTGTAGCTACACTGAGGTAAAAAGTAGATGGGATACAAAAATAGAAACATCAGGGAAGAGAGAGTAAAAGATTTTTATAACTAAAAGAGAGCATTAGTAAGATATAAACAGCTATTGGAGAGGATAGATGGGCTAATGAGAGCATAGCAATGGGGTCGAAGATATGGAGTAGGTTTAAAATGTAGTGTTAGAGTGTTCAGCATAAGTTTGGTGGTTACAGGAAAGTGGGTGCATGGTAGGAAGAAGGAGCGATTGGTGGAATGATGATGTAAAGAGAGTATAAGTGAAAAAAGTTAGGCATATAGAAGTTTTTTGTACAAAGTAGAAAGTGGATGCAAGGAGGGAAGAGTTATATGGAGAAAAAGAGAGAATTAAAAGTGTGCAGCAATGTAAAAAGAGAGCAATGAGAGAGTGGGTGAGATTTATCAACAAATTTTGTTGAAAATAAAAAAAGTTTGAGTGAGATTAACAAGTTAAGAAAGCCTAGAGAACAAATGGATTTGTCAGTTAAAAATAGGAATGATAGTTATTAAATGGAAGTTAGAGTATTGGGAAATGGAGGAATATATTTAGGAATTGTTAAATGTTGATTGAAGATAGGAAGCTGTGATTTCGTGTATAGGCATAGAGGAAGAACATCTTAGGAGTGAGGATGAGTCAGTGTGAGTGTGGGGGAAGTTCGTAGGCATAGTTAAAAGGAAAGGGGGTAAGGCAGCCGGATTATGGAAAAAGATAGAAATGTAAAACAGTGGGGATATAGTTTTGGATTTTGTGCAATTATTTAATAAATTCTTGAAGAGGGTAAGGTACCTAGGGTATGGCAAGAGCATGCATATCCTTTGTATAAAGGCAAAGGGGATAAAAGAGAGTGCAAAAATTATAGGGATAAAGTCTGTTGAGTGTACCTGGTAAAGTGTATGGTAGAGTTTATAATTGGACAGAATAAGAGTAAGACGAAATAGGATACAATGAACAAGGAGGCTTTAATGAAATGTCGGTGTGTGGACCAGGTGTTTACATGAAACAAAAAAGGAACAGTATTTAATAAGGCTAAAGTAGGTCTTTGTGCATTATGGATTTGGAAAAGGCGTAGACAGGGGGATATGGGCAATGTGCAGATGTTGCAAGTTATGGTGGTAGAGGTAGTTACTGCAGCAGGTGAAGAGTTTTTTACGAGGATAGTGGGCTCAAGTTAGAGTAATGTAGGAAAGAGGAGGAATCTTTTTCCTCATAAAAAGTAGGCCATTAGACAAGGATTGTGATGTCACCGTGTTAGTTTAATATATTATAGATGGGTTGGTAAGAAAGTAATGCGAGGGTCTTTGCAAGAGGCGTGAGTTAAAGATTAAGATCACACACAAAGTGGGAGTTGTCACAGCTGCTCTGCTGAGACACTGTGGCTCTTGGGAGATTTCTGAGAGAGAAGTCAGGAGATTGGTGGAATGAATTGGTAGGTGTGGCAAAAGAAGAAAATAAAAGGTGAATTCAGGAAAGAGTAAGGTTATGAGGATACCAAAAAGATTAGGTGATGAAAGATTGAATATCAAGATTGAGGGAGAGATTATGGAGGAGGTGAACGTATTCAGATATTGGGAGTGGACGTGTCCACGGGATGGGTCTATGAAAGAGAGTAATCATAGAATTGATGAGTCAAAAGATGAGTGGTGCACTTAGGAGTCTGGGTATACAAAGAACTTTGTCCTTGTGGAGGCCAGAGTGGAATGTAAGAGAGTATAGTTTTTAACCAACGCTCTTATATGTTGAAGCGTGGGTGATGAATGTTGGCAGCGAGGAGAAGGCTGGAGGCAGTGATATGTCATGTCTGAGGGAATGTTGTGTGAATAATAATGCAGAAATTCGTAGTTTGGAATTAAGGAGGAGGTGCGGGATTACCAAAAACTGTTGTCCCAGAGGCTGAGGAAGGTTGTTGAGGTGGTTCGGACATGTAAGAGAATTGGGAGTCGAAAACCAGAAATGACTTCAAAGTGTATCAGTCTGTAGGGGAAGAAGGCGGGTAGGGTCGGCCTAGGAATGTGGAGGTGGGAGGGATGGGTAAAGGAGGTTTTGTTTGCGAGGGCTTGGACTTCCAGCAGCAGGCGTAGCGTGTTTTGATAGAGTGAATGGAGACAAATGTTTTAATATCTTGACGTGCTGTTTGGATGTGAGCAAAGTAACATTAATGAAGGGAACAGGGAAACCGGCAGCAGGACTTGAGCCTTGATGGGAATACAGTGCCTGCACTCTGAAGGAGGGTGTTTAATGT